ATCAAGGGGCAATTCAATAAAATCTTAATAATCAAGCAATCAAGCCTGATGCTTCAGTCAAGAAATGACTAAATGTCTCCAAAGCTTTGCATACATATGGAATAACAATTACAGTATTTACAAAGGAATCAAATTGAGTTAAGCACTCATATCCCATGGCAAGTCAATGTGAGTGTTCGGACTACAGTCAGCTAACTGTGTTTGCCTGCCACAGTGTCAGCAGTGACACAGAACTGCATAAGTATGAGAATAAAAAACAATTGTTAGCTTACCAAAAAAGAAAAAAAATACCACAGCAAAATAAATGTTGTTTTCACACAGCTGTCTTTTCTACTTCCCTTTGTCTCCCAGAACGTGGGAGTTCACAACCTAAAAACAAACATTAGGAAACCAGGAAATCTCAGTGGTGATCTCCACACATACCACCCTAAGAGCAGTGGACTTGGCAACAAAACATGAACCACAAACTCAGGAAAAATATCTCCCTGTTACCACCTCCCTGGAACAGGACTGTGCCATGCAAGACCTACTCCCTGAAAAATTTGTCCTTCTAAGACAGTTTGGAGAAGTTATGCCTCTTTCTTTCTAATACTACTTTGTAAAAGAAGGAGGGCTGGCAAATCAGAGAAAAGCCAGCTTTTTCTTACAGCAGAGGCAACAGGGCAGGGCACAGCTTCTTCCAACACAAGACTCCCATTCTTTGTCCCCTTTATACCATTCATTCTATGTAAAGGAATTCATTACAATTTTCCTGACCTCAGGATACTCCTTGCAGGCACTAACTCGCTAAAGGCAGATGATGAACCAGATGCTACTCAAATTAGGCCCAAACTGTTCTGAACAGCATCCCACTACAGATTATTTTCACTGGCAAAACCCATCATGGTACTCAACTTGAGATTACAGTCAGCCTTCTGGATCCAGAGAACTGGCTCTGCAGTGGAGCTGTATGAAACAACCCGCCAGCCAGATCTCGGTCTGCAGCTCGGGCTAGTCAGGTTCCACCTCCATGAGACTGCTAAAGGCTGCCAGCTTGTGTGCAATAGGGGAATCGCCCGAGTTCCATACAGCAACCCCCAAACTGCGGCCTGGGGCTGCTGACGGAGCATGATCAGCTTTTGCCACAGCTTCCCACTCAGGTTTCAGGTCATCCATCTGTAGCATCATTCTTTTCCCCGACTCCTGATATTGCAGCTGTGTGGCAGTTTCATAAACAGCACAGAGCTGGGGTTTTCAAATCCTCTTAATTTGCAGGCCCCACTTCCTCCACACAGGAACCTCCAACTTACCGCCACCAAATATTTGAGCATGGGGCCCTTAGAATACAAGCAGTCCATAGCCACCAGATGGAAAACTAACAGAACTGCTGACATGCCAGCTAGGTATAACCCTAAAACCCAGAAGCTTTCTGCACTTAGCTCCTCTTACAGCCCCACAAAATAACTAAGTACAGCAGCATTTAAGTCCTTCTTTCAAATGTTATTTCCCAGATACTTAATTATTTTAGGCTGTGAAATCATCTAGATCATGTTATTACCACAGCTGGCAAACCAGATTGCATGTTCTCTCCCTCAGGGAAGGTTACAGCTGTGAACAGAAACTTACTACAGGGCTTTTCTTCAGTGTGAGGATCAGGTGCTCCTAACAATGCAAAACCCAAAGGACTACAGCTGCTGCTGCACAGATACCTGCCTCACATGCTATAGCTCTCAGGCTCGCAGCCCACTCTTTAAGCTCTGTCTCTGTGCCATCCTTTCAGACCTGCACGACTGCCCAGGTGTAGGTCTTACAGATTTTTTTTTCTCATCCATTTACATTCCCAAAAGTCTTTTATCCCTATATTGTATTTGTTTTCTAACTCCATCTCCAGTGTTTTCCTTTTGGAGCACTGAAGCAAAACATTCCCATTTTCCCCCAAATTTGACTGCAAACTTCACATGGTCAAAACAAAACATTATTCATACGAGGAACTCAGAAACATATTATCAATTCTTTATTTTCTATGGGGTTAACAGCCCACTCCAGTAAAACAGTCCACTCCCAAAAAAAGAGAGCAAGCTCCTCAATTCTCAGTGTGTTTTGAAGTGTTCTGGACCGTGAAATACACAACAGTGATACCATACTTGATCAGAAAACTTAATTCAGTATGACTAAGCCATTCCATGATTCATCCTCTTATTCTCTAACCTTTTACAAACTTCTGGATAGCACATCCTCCCTAACATGGGGCTGTCTTTATACCTGACTGCTTTCCTATCACTCACAAAATCTTAATCCAAGGTATGTACCAGAACCTAGGACCAACAACCCCCATGAAAGCTTCCAGGTTTTGCAGTAATACAAACCCATTAGCAGTAACTGAAAATTCGTACCTTAAGCTTGGGTTTGTATCCACAGCACTCTCTCCACAGGACTCCCCCAACACTGCCAAACAACACGGCTGCTAATCGGGTCACAAATATATCATGCATTTCCCCTGCAACTAGTGATTCCCCCCCTTAAGGGTGAAGTTTGCCCATTCAGGGGATTCACTTTGACAAAGTCCTGATGTGTTGAATGCTATCAAAATACAGATCAAGAAAAATCAAGAAAACTGCCTCTGATTCACAAAACTTAGAGAGCAAAAGTAAGCCTTAAAAGTGCAAGGGAAGAGCACAACTTTAGCTAGCATAAGACAGTGGTCAGCAGAAGGCTACATTGAGCCATATTTGAGTAATCTAGAACACAAATCCTCAACTGTGTAGTTTTGTGTAAATTCCTTTAGCACAGAAAAGACAGCATGGAAGAACCACACACAGTAACTTAAAAAGGTGACAGGATGGCCAGCACAGGGGCAAGGGCGATGACAATAACAAGGGGGGCAGATTCAAACAGGCCTGGAAGCAGTAACTTGTGCTTCATGTGGCAGCAACTTGTGCTTCATGCAGCAGCAAAAGGGAAAGCCATCACAATTCTGAAACCTCTCGTCCTTAAGCAGTACAACAGACTGAAATAATGGGAGGACTGATGACAAGACCCTGTTGGACGAGCAGGTGGTAGCACGGATGATGGTGATCTCAGAGATAAACGACATCCACAAGAGAAGAGCACTCCACTGGGCTGTGGAGTCAGAGCCACATGCTGAAGGCAGGAAGACATACAGCTGAGGAGCAGATGGGTCATCAACATGGATGCTGAGGGCTAAATGTGAATGGCTGAATGTGTGCCAAAACCAGGGCTGAAAAAGACAAGCGATGGTGAGATGCTGGAAGGATGAAGCAGGAGCACAGAAAAAGAGAAAAACAAAAATAATGAAAAGGTGGCAAAAAGGATATAAGGCCTGGAGGTGCCCAATGCCTGCACTGTCTGACACCAAACTAGGAAATAAGAAAGGAAGGCCTCAGTAGGAGAGCAGCTGCAGCAAACCCACAGGCATCCAGGTCTCTGCAAGATATTCAAGTGACTGAGAAAATGTTATGTAGAAAGTGCCTGGGTGCACAGCTGGTATTTAGATGGGAGTTACAGGAAAAAAAGACAAGATAGCAATGGCAGGAGGATGCACGATGTGGCAGAAGTGAAATGCAGACACAAGCAGTGATAAGTTGTACAAAAGGGAATGGCTGGTGCACGGGTGCAGAATATGAACTTGTTTCAGTGACAGGAGATAAGTTTTCTCTTAGTCTTATGAGGAAAGGGGAAGAGCAGGCAGCTGAAAGGCCAGTGAAGAATGAGAACAAGAAACCTGTAAGAAGAAAGGGTACAGGAAAGAGGCATCACAGATGACTTACAAAAAAACCCACAATATTAGCTTAGCAGCAGTTTCACATGTCAAACTGCATTGCAGGGTATTGACTCTGCCACAGACTGCCTGGGAGAGCCCGTGGAGCATTTTGGAGAGTTACTGCCTGCTAGTAAAGTGCCGTATGCACCCAAGAAGTGACAGAGACTTTCATCCTCCATTTCTAGATGGTACCATGCAGCTTTTTGAATGACTTGCATCTGGAGCACCCTCAGTTTCCAGAGACACCATTCCTGCAGGGATACATACTCATCCAGGGACAGCATTGCACACACTGCTGCTGTAGCATCTTGGGAACAGGCGTTGTCAGGCTACACAAGGAATCTCTGAGGTTTGCTGTTTAGAACTGAACTCATACTAGGCTTGGAATATTCTAGTCAACAGTGGAATATCATTGTGAAATACTTCTCAGGTGTGTTCCTTATCGTTCAAAATTCATATTAAAAGGCAGAAAATGCAAGGAGGCATATTTTTTTATCATCAAAGAACAGCTAAAACTTCAAAATACACAGAATATTTTCTCCAAGAAAAACAGAGAGTGGAACTCTTAATTTACAGTATTGGACTATGAAAACAACAGTATACCAAAGTGTGAAAGCAGTGTACAAAAAAATGGAAAAACACTGAGACCTTTAATAGAAACATCAAAGTCTTCAGATGAACTTGATCTCTTGAGGTGCTTTGCAGTAATAACCAAAAACTAAACAGCAGAGTACCTTAAAGCCCAACCAGAATTTGAGCTGCAAAATAACTTGGTATTCTTACCTATTTACAAAATAAAGGCAGAAACTGTAATTTTAAGGTGCAGGCCCAGAAACAAATTCTCATGTGAAAAAGAAGCTACCTTACAGCCTAACTACCACATACTTACTGTAGCTCTGCGGGCATGTATTTTCACCATATGGTAAAAGCAAGATAATCTCAAATAGATAAAAGAACCATCACACATTTCTACAGGACGAGTTTTCATATGTGTGGGCAGTTCACAGGCACCTTAGCTTTCTTAATGGACACGTGCTGATGTCCTTTGCAATCACACCTCTGTGCAGAAGAAATCTCCTCTTGTAGATGACTCATAATAGCCTGCAAAACTATTAAAGAGTTCACTTTGCTGTAGCTGAAAGCTACAGGGCATTCTACAAGGATTAATTGCCCCAAGTGCTCAATAAACAGTCCCCAAATAATGCTGGTGTTACCACTTCAGAACACATATTTATGAGGTTTATATTGAGCCCTTCACACAGCTGTAATGTTAAAATTTTCAGAAAAAAAAATTACTAGATCAAGCATTCTCAATATCCAGGTTTGGGTTTTAGGTAGTACTGCATAAAGATCAGTTACGTGGCTCATCTTCAGACATTGCTTCCTGAATTCAGTCCTCTGCTGAGAAATAATCTTCATCTCTCACTTCTCTGTATTGCATTGAGGCCTCCCCCTCTGGTTCAAACTTGAGCATTTTTATATTCAATCTCTCTGCAAGCTTCTGTGCAGCAAGCTTGGCTTGTTTTTCCTATAAAAAAAAAGAAAAGAAAAAAAAAAAAGAAAGAAGACATATTAGGAAAAGCGTTCATTTGTCAGTTTTATCCTGGTTGTGAAAACAAACAAACAAACCTGAAGTATAAATTTGAGGTAATAATATTAGTAATTCCAGAGTGGGCTTAATGAAGAGTTTTAGTAACTGGCAAAGAAATTTCAGATTTCTTTTCACACCTGTCCACAAATATTAATATTTGAAGACCTTTCTCTAAGAGTTAAAATTGCCCATATGGCAGTCATCCCCTGTGGTACATTAACATCAGGTTTAACAAAACAAAATCAGTCCCTGTAAGGGAGCATCTGTGCACAGTAACCACGTAGCAGCAGCAGTGCTTTTCATTCAGCAACCTCAGCAAAAAACACCCTCTGCATTTTCCAAATAAATCACCTCCCTTAAAGTGTCACTAAATTGGGAAGGGCTTTCAAAACAATAAGCAACAACAAACACTTTCACAATAGTGTCCAATTTAAACTTTGATTTTGACATTCCTGGTAGTGCCAAGCTAAAGTCCATTGCAACAGAATTTGAAGAACCTCAGAAATGGATTCTTCAGGCACAGCATAAATAAAGGCAAACAGACACCTGCATATTTTAAGAATTACAAATACTGCTGAGCCTTCTGTTACGCAGGGGACAAAAACTCTTTAAAGACTAATAGGCAAAGTATACATTGAAATTCCTAGTCAGGGGTGAAGACAGTCCAATGAGGTTAGAGTATCAACACACCAAGAATAATGCTAGATTTTGTTTAATGTAAGAATAACAGTTTCAGAAGTATTCATAAATATGTTATTTAATTATATCATTCTATCAGATACAAGAAAAAGTGCCTTTTCTCAAAGTCTGCCCATCTCACCATCAAATTCATCAGTATGAAAAGATCCCTTTATGCTTTCTTTTTTAGGATTGATCCCAATTATATAATCATTTTTCAGACCAAATTGTAAATTCGTACCTCATAAGCTTCTTTTTGCTGTATCTGAATGGCTATGGATTCCTCTATGGATAACAGCTTAGCTGGGGAATGGTGAAGCGGTGGCAGCCGAGCTGCTGTGATGTCATTCAGATGTTTCTTATCTCTTAGTTTTCTTTCTTCAGTAGTAATTGGAGAGCCACGTCCCCCAGGTGATTGACTGGATGAGGAACCATGTGATGATCCACTTTGCTCTCCTGATAATCTGGAAGAAAGAAAACATAGAAGTTGTGACCCAAATTTCCAGCACAAGGTTGAACAACTTCCATTCCAGAACTCATTATTTTCAATACATAGGAGTTGAAAAGAAATCTGAACTGTTATGACACCATAAACAAATGAAAAATAAGCAGCGCTCAGAAAATCTAAGATGTCTCTGCAGAGAGATAGTATCAGGAGTTGCTCCTGAGAGTGAACAAAAAATGTATGCAAATTAATTAGCAAGCATGAAATAGCAACGTTTTTGGAGTTACACGAAGGATAAACTGCTACTGCTACCAGTACAGACAATGTGAACTGTAATTTCTCTAGAGGTGCAGGAAAAGCAAAAGGCCACCTGCTATTAAAGTTCTGAGAGTTCCAGAATTAGTCCACAAGAAAGTTCCGCCAATTGATTTACAGTTTTGTAGCTTAAGCTACAAAACTCCATGAAGATTCATGACAATTGTTTTAAATGGGTAGAATTTGATCACTGCTTAATATTGAGATTCTTCTGTTACAGAACTTAATAATAAAAAGCCAACATATTAAACTCTTGTGTTATATGAATTTAAATTTCTTGAATTGTCACAAGAAAATAAGCCTGCAATGCTTTCCTGTACCACTTCCAATTTTATATGCATCAATTATTTCACAAAAGGTTTTTCTATTCTGTAATACTTACACATTTGTTTTAAATTTGCTTTTTTTAATGACTGGGTTCTTGGCTCTAGACTCTAGAACTTCAATATAATGTGGTGTCTTGGGGTGCAGGCTTCCAAAGATATTGCCCTTAGGTTTAGCTGCATTCTGCGCTTTTTCCAATACCTCTTCACTATCATCCCCACCTCCAATTGTAACTTTTTGAAAGGCATTGACCAGTGCATCTTTACTGTTGTCCAGAGCACCTGTACTGTCTGTACGATCCTCAGTATTTCTCTCAGATACTTGTTGATCATTTTTCAGATGACTGCTTGTGGCTGACTTGGAGATGACTTCACAAGAAAGACTCTGATCTTCTCTAACAGTCTTCACTCCATCATTTTTCCTCTGAGTCCTTTCATTTTCCAGAGCTGTATTTGTGGCATCTTTCTCAACAGAGTCTGCCGTTTGCCTTTGGGAAGAAACCTCAGAAACTTCTTTATTAGAGATTTTATTAGAGACTGAGGAATCTTCACCATTTAGTGTGTCCTCATTTCGGATGACTTGCTGTTTGCTTGTGTTAATCTCCTCCTGTTTTACCTGAAACTCCAACCTGACAGCAGAGAGCAGCTCAGCTGTCCTTGCTAATTCTTCCTCTTGTAAAATGGCAAGTGTAAGCTTTTCAGCAAAGTCGGAGATCTTCTTACCCTTATCTGGAAGTCTAGCAATGAATTTCCTAAAACAAAAACCAGAAATTATTTAGCAGGGTATAAAGAATCCTGTTTCAATCTGAGATACAGAACCATTTTATTAGAATAGCTAATGTGGCAGGTTTCTCATTCTGACATTGTTTCTTATTTATGTACTAGGTCTGTGAAAAGAGGTATGATGCAGAGTGCTCACAGCCTCAGACGTATACTGGGACAAAGCAACGGTTACATTTTTTTCCTGATGAAAGATGGAACTGCTGTCCTGATAAGCATGGTGCACATATATAATTTGGCATTTTTGCAAAGCGGAGTATATGGATTTTTATGGCCATCTTCCCAGATATAACCACGCAGTTGTCACTGTGAAAGCCCGTAGGCAGTAAAACCAGACAGGCACGTATGGTCTGCATAATATCCTGCGGCTGTGACCTTGACAACCCGCGACAGAAGGCGCCGCGCGGTGCCACAGCCCGGCGTAGCGACAGGGAGGCTCCGGAGCGGGGACCGGGCCCGAGGGCAAGTGCCGAGGGGCGGCAAGAGGCGGGAGCCCCGCGAGGCACACGCCGCTTTCGCGCCCCCGAAAGGAGAAAACCGAGAGGAAGAGGCCTGTCCACTGCCGCC